CAACCAACATCCTTTCACATAGTAGCTTCATTGTCATTGTCATTACTCACTGATCTACTAATCAAAGATGCACAGTATAATATTTCAAAGTGTTTTCACACTTTAAGAACACATCTTGTTTAAGGACTATTGTGTTAGAAAACATCACAGTTCAGCAGAAGTTTGAATGCCATGCTAATATTCCATGTGGAAAGAGTTTGTATATTAAGCCTTTGGTATTGACTATTGAGGGAGAAAACAGCCTGCCTCAATAAAAGAGAAACTTGCATAAAAGAGACTTTTTTTTTGGAGGGTGGGGAACAGATGTGCATGAATATATGGATGTACTTATCTCCACATTAAATATATATATATATATATATATATATATATATATATATATATATAGTTTTAATTTAAGGCCTTTTTGCTTCTATAGAACCTAAATGTTCTGGTTGCTATTTTGAAAAAGAGTTACCCAATATACTATACTTCTATTTCTCAATGAGTTTTTAAGTCATTGTCTGTTTTCATTCATTACAATAGAAGCAAACGTGAATCTCTCTGGGCTGAGGTAAAGTCTCTGTAAAGATGATGAAGATTAAACTAGGTAATCTCTAAGGATCCATCCAGCCCTAACCTTTATAAAGTGCGTATTATGTGCTAGACACTGTGGCAAAGATTGGGGATCCAGAGAAGAATGCAAAACATTGTGTACCCTAAAGGACCTTACATGGTTGGAAGTGGGGTATGGTGAGAGAGCACCAATGGCTGGAGGGATAAGAAAAGGCTTCCTATAGAAAGTAATGCTCAATTCTCCCTGATTGCAAGTCCATAGTGCCTAGTAGTAGTCAAGTTGTTACCATTCAAAAAGTCTTAACTAATTATGATGCTAGTGACTAAATTAACCACAGAAAGAACCAGTTAGTTTCAGGATACAAATGTTAGTGGGATGGGGAAATGAACACAAAAAACCCTGATGAGGGTTATGGTAATCCCTCTGCATTCAAATCACACCTTAGATACTAACTCCTTGTGTAACTTTAGGCAAGTCACTTAATCTCTCTGGGTTTTCTCAACTGTAAAATGAGAGGATCGGAATAGGGGCAGCTAGGTGGTGCAGTAGATAGAGCACTGGCCCTGGATTCGGGAGGACCTGATTTCAAATCCAGCCTTAGACACATAACACTTACTAGCTGTGTGACCCTGGGCAAGTCACTTAACCCCATTGCCTGGCCGAAAAAAAAAAAGAAAAAGAGAGGATCGGAATAGATGTCCTCCAGAATCCCTTTCAGCAAGCTCTATGATCCTATGGTTCTAGTGTGGCCATTTTTCTTTTAGATCCCTTAGAAGGAAGTGATGCTACATCATGTGCTTTGCTATTAAAATGAGTGTGATGAAGAGCCCTAGACTGAGGCTAGAAGACTTGGGTTCTAATCCTGGCTCTTCCAGTAACTCCTGTGTGACCACACACAAGTCATTTTTCATCCTTCTGTCTCAGTTACTTCTTCAATAGGATGGGGGGGTGATGGATTAAAGTAGATTATCTCAGAAATTCCAACCATTTTTAGAAGTTCTTTGATTCCTAGTGATAGATGACTGAGTATAGCATCCCTCTTGAGTTTTTACATGAAGTTAAAAAGAAGAAAATCAATTAACCTCAGAAATTAGAATTACTGGTACAAAATGTCACTGAGCCCTATCAATGACATTATAGTAATGGAGTCATAGAGAGGGAAAAGTAAAAACAAATAACAAACTGAAGAGGGAAAAAACAAAGATTTGAAGCTCAACATTCTGCCATCTTCCTTCCCTAGGCCACTGAGTAAAAGGGCCATAGAAAATGAAAAATACCAAGGCATTTTCAAACCTAAGGAGAAATTTGACATTAAGATGCATAATAACATTTTTGTAATGAAGCAAACAGATTGAATGATGTGATGGAATACAGTTGTGCTGAATTCTTATCAGTATAATGATCAACCAGGATTCCCAGGAGACTGAGGGTGATAAATGCTACTCATCTTCTGATAGAAAAGGGAAGGATTCAGAATGCACCAAAAAGACAAATATTTTTAGGACATATCCAATATAGAAATTATTTTTATTGACTATACATTTGCGTAATGGGTTTTAGGTAGTTTTGTGTTCTCAGTGTAGAGAGGAATTTGATGTGGAAGGGTGAGAAGGCAAGTCTTGGCTAATTCAAACAACAAAAATACATACACACATACAACAGATCAATACAATGACCAACCATAATCCCTGAGAATTCAAAATGAAACATGCTGCCTATCTCCTTACCAGAGATGATAGATGGACTCAGACTGCAGATTGATACTTTTTTTTTGATGACATGGCCAATGATTGTTTTGCTTGATGATACCTTCTTGTAACAGGGGTTTAGTTTTTCTTGTATTCTCAAAGTGAGGGGAAGGGAAGTATGAGGGAGACAGAGAGAGAGAGAGAGAGAGAGAGAGAGAGAGAGAGAGACTGATTTTTACTTGAGAATAAAATAAAGCAAAATTTAATTTAAAAAAAAGAAAAATATTTAATTAACAAGAAAAAAGAGTCTCTCAAATGTTGGCAGTCTGCTGGATGATGTAGAGAAAACCAAAGAAATAGAACACCAAGTTCCTGCACTAGAAGGGTTTACATGAAAGCACTATGCAAATGCAAACTATTATTATTTGTAATCTCAATGTTGATGGGAATCATGTACTCATGAAAGTAATTAAATAACAATGCCATGCAGCAGTATTGAGTGGTACAGACAGTAAGTACTATACAAGATTGAAGAAAGGAGAGGATAATAAAGGCAAGAATATTAAGGCAATCTCCATAAAGGAGATGGGTTTTAAGTGAATTCAGGAGAATAGGAAAGTGATCCCTAATCTGAATTACTGGAAAAATGGTGGTGCTACTGAAGGAAATGTGAAAGAGTTGGTTGGTAGGATCAAATGCTACAAAGAACTCAAGGAAGAATAAAGTCTATGGATTTGTAAGGAATCAAGGGGGGAAAAATAGGAGCAGATGTTACATTAGGAGGTCATGTGGTATAGTGGGAAGAGCCAAGGCCTTGGGGTAAGGAGAGGCCTCAATTTGGATCTCACCTCTGATACTTAACCATTACAAAAGCATCGCCACGTCACTTAACCTCTTTGACTGAACTTCAGTTATCTCATATTAAATGTGGACAATAATACTCATAGAATGTACCTTACATGGTAGTTATGATGATCAAAGGAAAAATGTTTTGTATATCTTAAAACTATTATTATTTTTATCTTCTTGTTCAATAAAGTTCAGATAGAAACAGTCCTAGGACAATTCACTCTCTTACTATTATTCTTTTCTGTTTAATGTTCTTTGAACTGTTACATAGGTGGATAAAATGACTACTTTTGTAGTTGAATGAAAGTATTAGGATGCAAGCTGACCTTCTATAGGGTCACTAAGAGCAACCTTGATATGATTCCAGTAGCAGTAAGGACAACAGGGATAATACGAACCTATTATGATGATGGTGGTGGTGGTTGTAGTGGTGATGGATCAATCAATATTTATTAAGTGCCTACTATGTACCAGGCCCTGTGCTGTTACTGCTGCTGAATTTCCAGTAAATGATCAGCCTTGCAAAGACAACATAGTATTGTCAAAAAAAGCATTGAATTTGGAATCAGGTGACCTGAATTCAAACCCTAACTCTGATCCTGTGTGACCCTAGACAAGTTACCCTTTCTGAGATTCAGTGTCCTCACTTGTAAAATCTATATAATAGCATATACTAATTAACAAATGTTCTTAAAGTGCTATAAATGTGTGAGTTGACATTTTTAACCATTGTGTGATTCATTTTTTCATTCTTTTGTTCAGTAAGTATTTATTAAACCTCCAATTTCCATAGAGAATGGTGTTAGGTGCTGTGGGGATATAAAGAAGTATAAAACCCCTTCCTTGCCTTTAATGCTTATGTTTGAAATTATTCCTTTTTCTGTGCTTTTTCATGCGCTGGGAGAAATAGGTGCAGGTAATTTTCTCTAGGTTAACACAGAATATTTACTTGATTGTAGGTAATATTAGAGGAGTAAATTCCTAGAATTTTTCTTGTTCCAGAACTGCAAATTTATTTTTGGGTTAAAATGCACTAATCTTCAAGAGATTTTACTGGCAGTTTTGATCCCAGTTTAATGTAGATTTGTAAACAAGGAATCAGCTATGGTACCATACATATATGATACCAAAGAATTTTAGAATTAAACTACTTCTGTGCTCCAGAGAAAAAAATCAAAATTTTGTGTCTTGTATTTTTATGGTAAATAAATTACTTTTGTTCCTTGACTATGTTGTAATAAGTCTGGTTTTTAAAATCGCTGTTCTAGTTATATTTGGATAGAATCTTTAGATGATGAAACTTTTATTCTGCCTTCTAAAGTTATGATCTTACTTTTAAAAGGAAATTTTCCCTATGTATTAGCCTATAAACCTATTTTGTGATTTTGCTAGGATCTATGATTTCACTGATGTGAGGATTTCAGGTGGAAAGTTCTTTCACCAATTCAGATCAGCGGCTCGACTGTAACTTAGCATCCTCCAACTAATAGCACCTTCTTTCTCAACTACTTTGTATACATTTGTATTTATTAAGTTTATATTAGTGTTGTCTATATTTTTATGTATACTTCAAGGATTTGAAACCAGGGATTCCTGACTCCAAGCATCACCTGCTATATACCTCAACTCTTTATTTCTCATCACAAGTCCGGACAATGTTTATTTTAGCAATTTGTGTCAGAAAGAGAAATTTCATGGGAAGATTGAAGAATTTGATCTTTAACTTGTTGAAAAACAACCCCAAAAAAACAACCCATAACTCAGGATTTTCTCAAACCTTGGCTTTTGTTGTTGTTGTTGTCCAGAAACAGGAAAACAAAACTAACTACAAGCCCATCTTTGTTGCATGTAATCTTGAAAAGGAACTTGGCTGTTGGAACTAATGTCAAGACTTGTTTTCCTTCCAGACTGCATCATCTGCTATTAAGGGTGCTATTCAGCTGGGAATAGGATACACAGTGGGTAACCTCACTTCCAAGCCAGACAGAGATGTGCTTATGCAAGACTTTTATGTAGTGGAAAGTGTGTTTCTACCCAGGTAAGAATATTATTTTTAAGTTATTATTCGTAATTATCTTCTTGCTAATAAATAATGACTATATCATCATTATAATAACAGATATATTTATATCAAGTTTTAAGCAAAGGATTTTACATCTATTACCTCATTTGATCTTCACAATACTCAGCAGGTTTTTATTAAGTACCTACTATATACTGTACACTGTAGCAGGTTTTAAAGATACCAAAGAAAGAAAAAATGAAATCATCTCTGCCTTCAAGGAGCTTACATTCTGTTAGGGGAAATAGTGTATATATATATGTAGCAACCCTGCTAAAAGCCTTTGCTCATTCTACTTTGTGAGTATATAGCCTAATCCACAGTATGTGTTAGACTCCTGGCACTGCCAAAAACAGGCTAAATGATAAGAATTTTTATCATGTCAAAAGGAAGTAGAATGGTTTGGTGTGCACTTATGTCACATACATCAGAATCAACCAACTTTTATTTCTTTTGGTGACAGCTTATCCTTTCTCCTTCTTGGCTTCTATCCCAATGAGCTGTATTTATAAAAGACACCTGTCCATTTTGACATCCATCTCTAACAAAGTATAAAAATTGAAGAAGAATATTCTATCTTACTTGGGGTGGGGGCACATCATTTATAAAGGCCTTTGTTAGTTAATCCAGAAGTAATCCTTATTAAACTGGAAACATCAAAGCTTATTCATTTTGCAAATAATAAATTAAAATGAAAATAGAGATATTAACAAGTTAGTTAGCTTTTGGTTTATGCAGATAGCATCTTTTTGTCATCAAATCATGTGACTCTTAAAAATATGCCATTTCAATTGATTCATTAGTTTGCTAAGTGATTAAAGCTATTTGGATGGATCTTTTGTCTTATTCATAATATTCAGGAGATCCTTCCCAAAGTAAAAGTTATGCAAATCACATGCTACCCTTTGGTGGATCTGTGATTGCACCAGTTTGGGTAGTGTAGATTACAACCTATCCACAAATTTTTGTCACATGTAACTTTTGTTTGGGTTCTCCAGTAAATCTTCCACAGGGTGGCCATCCAATATACTGGAATCTTTTTCTTTCTTTTTTTAAAATTTTATTTTATTAATGTATGTATTTATTTTTAGTTTTCAACATTTACTTCTCTAAGATTTTGAGTTGTAAATTTTCTCCTCCTCCCTCCCCAATACAGCGTGCAATCTGATATAAGTTATGCATATACATTCATATTAAACACATTTCCACATTAGTTATGTTGTAAAGAAGAATTAGAACCAAAGGGAAAAACCATTAGAAAGAAGAAACAAAAAAAGAGAGAGAAAAAATAGTATGCTTCTCTCCGCATTCAGACTCCATACTTCTTTCTCTGGATGTGGATAACATTTTCCATTATGAGTCTTTTGGAATTGTCTCAGATCCTTGCATTGCTGAGAAGAGCTAAATCTATCAAAGTTGATCATTGCACAATATTTCTGTTACTGTGTACAATGTCTTCCTGGTTCTGCTCACTTCACTCAGCATGAGTTCATGTAAGTCTTGGAATCTTTTTCTAAGACCTTTTTGAATCATAGTACCATGGATTTGATACTTATAACTCATTTAATTCAATCCCTCCATTATACAGATAGAAAACTGAGGATCAAGGAGGCTTAGTAACTCGTTCAAGGTCACATATGTAGCAGACATGAAGGGCATTGTTTGAATTCAGTTCCTATGACTGCAAAATGAGTGCTATTTCCACATTTTGTGGATATCTGTGGAGCGCACATTACTCAACCATTGCTCTCATTACATGACTCAAAAGTGTAGATTCCACAGAAATTAACCATACCCATGAATATAATGAGATTCTTTAGATAGTCACAATGACATACAGAAGTTGGGCAATCAAACAACTTGGCCAAAGATAATTTATACCAGCTAAAGTGTAGTGGAAATCATACTAGATTTGAAGTAAGAGGACCTGGGATCAAAAGTGACTCTGCTACTCACTACTGTGGGATGGTAGAAAGAATGCTCAGGTTGGAGATAGAGAACTTGAGATTGAATCTAACTCTTAACTACCCATGTGACCTTGGGAAAATAATTTACTTTCTTGTGTCAAATCACATGACAAAAATGTTTGAATATTAAATTTTGCATCCTAACAAAAATATTTTTCCAGATACTAAGCTGTGTGTATGTTAAATACTTGATTTGCGCCCCTGAAAAAAGTTTTTTTTTCCTTTTAACAAGAGGATTTTTTGTGTATAAAAATAGTATGAATTTCTAAAACTTTTTTTAAAATTTTAAATAAAACCACAGATAGTGGAATGTGACAGTAGAAATTCATGCTATCACTGTCTTCCTCATCCAGAAAATGATGAGATTTGACTAGATTATCTTCCAGAACCCTCCTGGCTCTAAAATCAAGTCCTAAGAGAAATCATTTCTTTTTTGTCTTTTGGGAGTTAAATTGCAAATTCTCTTTCTCATAACAATAAAACGCTATTTTTAGGATATTTTATTCTGGTAGTCTCAGAATTACTTGTGAATATTGAATTTTCCTGTAGGGTTAACTTTCTTTCATATCTCTTCTAATAATTCAAGGAACCAGTATTTCACTAGGGAGTTCACAATTTCATCTGCACCTCTACTGAATGCTTATCTCAGCCCCTAATAGATCATCTTCATAAGTTTCCTGGCTGGGGAAAAAAAAAAGTCCATCACCACTAGTCAGCCCTGGGATGATGAGTCAAATTTAGTTAAGCCAATAGCACATGTAAAGTACATTAGGGAGCCTATAATGAAGACTTTCAAACTTGCTAGAGCTTGGTTATCAGCCCTTGCTCTCTGCCTTAGGAACCCAAGATTACCTCAATTCCATAGAACATCAGTGGAGGGATAGATGCATGGAAAAATTGAGGCTTGGGAATTGAAGGGTTAAATGAAGTCCTAAAATCTTTTTCAACTGCATGATTCCAAGATGCACCCAGATTTATGTGGCAAGTTCCTGAAGGGAGCCAAGGCTGATTCTGGATCTGTTGATGCCTGGGCTGGTGTAGTGTACATCAGTTGAATGGGGAAAGAAACTGTTTAATACGTTTTGTATTCAGCTTGTAGAATTAGACCTGATGGGACAATCTTTTAATGTGGCAGAAAAACTGCATCGAAAAAAGGCCACATGACCTGGGATAATTTCCTGAGTGACTAGATCCCTAGTCACCAACCCTAAATTTCCCTCTATTGTTCTCAAAGCTCTAAGATCCAGACCTCCCTCCTTCCAAAACCTCCATAACTACCATTTTATTGGAGGGAGGAGTTATTTATTGTTTTGGTTTGGTTTTTGTTTTATTTTGGAAGCAATGGGGTTAAATGTCTTCCCAGGGTCACACAGCTAATAAGTGTCTGAGACTGGATTTGAACCCAAGTCTTCCTGATTTCAAGGCCAGTCATCTATTCACTTCATCACCTAGCTGTCCCTATAACCATCATTTCTGAAGATGAGAGCTGCTAGAACAACTGATTGGCCAGGGCCCAGGAGAATCTCTGCTATATGCAAATTATTAGTAATGTTAAGGAGCACCATAGGAAGGGGTTGGTAATAAAGATTATGCTCTTCTTGAATTCCAAAGACTCAGTTTCATTTTCAGATTCTGACACTAGGTTATTGTCTGACCATCATCACTCAACCTTTTTGGTGTCTTCACAGCTAAACCTGTCATTTAAGAGTTAGTGCTGACCCTCTTACCCTACTTGAAAGGAATATTCTTGTGCTTGCTCAAGAAAAGATCTCAGAAAGGTTTTAGAAGTCCTATAGTAAAATAACCCTGTCGGGATATCATAGTAGCTGATCCAGTAGAATTGTAAGTGAGAAACATATGCTTCACTGACTTGTACAATTTATTTTTTTAAAAAAGCAACACAAAGAAATATAAACGCACTCTTGGTAAAGGTCGTACAGTGTCTAAGCTTCCAAGTTGAATCCCATTAATTTCTTTAGGAGGATAAAATAGATTTTCCTCTAGGGATTAGTGCCATATTACTCAGCTTTGTGTTGCAGAAAATTATTCCATTATCAAAATTCAAAAAATGATAACCAAAGGCTTTAAAGTTAAAATTTACAAACTATTTTTCAATCCTGCCTTAGGCATAAATACCACCCAACTTGCTCCTCCATTGTGGGAAGCACACAAAAGGAAGTCTTGTCTTCCCACTCTCACTTCTATGAATTAAAAAAATAGAGGTCTGGAACCAGCCCAGGGCATTATAAATTCAAGTCTCTTTAGAAATACATGCTGCCACCCTCCCCCCCCCTTGTTATGACTAAGATGCTTTCCAAAGCTTTGATTTCATACCTATTTTCTATTTTAACCCAAGTAAAAGTATTCTTCTTTCTCAGACTTCTCAGAACACTTTCCTTTTACAGATCTTTCATAATTACTTCATTCTCTCTTGTATCATAATTAATCTTATTCATATCTTTCCCTCATAATACAGGATGTCCCAAAAGTCTTGGTGGAGTTTTAAGCTTTTATGATTTGGGGGACAATTCTGTAGACTGTAAGTTCCTCGAGTTTTTGGTTTTTAAGTTCAGGTCACTTTATTTTCTAAAAAGTCTCTCTTACAATCTCAATATACATGTTCTTCTTTATGATGTTCCACTTAGAAGAAGATGAGGAGAAACAAAAAAAAATAGAAATAAGGAAACATGTAGAAAAGCTTATATCAATGTAAATTATAACCTTCAAGTCTGCCAAGTCTACTTGGAAGCAATTAAGATCATCCAGATTCTTTGTTAGGTATATATAAAGAGCCTGGGGTTCAAATCCCACCTCAAACACTTACAAGCTATGTGACCCTGGACAAGTCACTTAACTTCTGTTCACCTCAGTTTTCTCATCTGTAAAATGTGGATAATAATAGCACTTACCTCCCAGGGTGCTTGTGAGGATCAAATGAAATAAAAAATTGTAAAACGTATAGCATAGTACCTGGCACATAGGACTATGGCAATATTCATGTTGTTATTGTTGTTGTTATATACCTTTGTATATTCAGTACCTGACATAGAGATACTTAATAGGCTAAAGATGTACACAGTCTGAAGAGAAAGCAGTATACAATAATAAATGTATGAATGAGGGAATGAAAGTTATAGGGAGACTAAGAGAATATAATATCCCTTAAGATTACCAATCATGCACTTTATAACTGGTTGTGTTTTGAAAAAAGGCTGGATGTAATTCTGTCACTTGACAGGCAAGACCTAGGATCTGATAGTCCATAACAACAGCCATGTTCATCTGAGATAACCAAGGGGAACTTTCTTCCCACTGTCAGACTAATACCCATTAAAGTCATTCTCTGTCATTAGCAGCTAAGCAGATGGTGAAGGCATTTTGTAATGTTTGTAAGTGTGTCTGAAGCTAGACTCCATTCTGAGTGTCAGTAAGATAGCATATATATGTGAATCTTGAGCACAATACCTTCAAGCAAGATGCCCTAGCTTTGTGTCAACTGGCTGATATATTCAGTCTGCCATGCAGCACAGCCCCTGAGCACTTCTTTCAGTCATGTCCGACTCTTTGTGACGCCATTTGGGGTTTTCTTGGCAAGATATTGGAATAGTTTTCCATTTCCTTCTCCAGTTCATTTTACAGGTGAGGAACTGAGGCAAACAGGGTTAAGTGACATAGTTAAGCTAGTGAGGGTCTGAGGCTGGATTTGAACTCATGAAGATGAGCTTTCTGGATTCCAAGTTCTATCCACTGTGCCAACTAGCTGCCCCAAGCACTAGCCATATTGGACCTTCCCAATAATTTGTATATCCTCAAGTCCCCTAGGACTTCATTTTACTTCAGGATAGATTTGTTGTTCTCTAGAACCACTTAAAGACCAAGAGGTAAATAAATGTTCTTTTGTGCAGTTACTTTTTGGTATAATGTCAAGCCATGTATGTAAATGCGAGCATGAACATGTACATGCCTGTTAGAGGGGTGGGCTTCTTAAATTACAGGGTTTTTTTTAATTAGGCATTTAACGTGTGCAATCAGTTATTATTTTTTTTTCTTCCCCACTTCCCTGTCATCATAATATAGGTTGGTCAGTATATCTTCAAGAAATACCATTTAGTCTTAATATTAGTCCAAGTAAGACCCAATAAGGAAAGAAATTCTGCTGGGCATGGGAGAGCACAATGAATTCCAAAGAAATGACTCTTGGATTATCCACAATTTGAGCTACTTCATTAATTCATTAATTAATTCTTCATTAATTCAGACTTTTGAGTGTTCCAACACCATAATTACTAATTGACACTTAAAATACCACATGTAACTCAGCATAGTTCTAGAGACCTCTAATTTCATCCATATAAAAATCCCCTTTCTTGACAAAGATCACCCAACCCTTGTATACCTTAGTAGACGGTCTTCATGAATTGCCATGACCGATAAATTTTACCACCTGACGGTCAGCCTTCTGCAGTTGAACATTTCCAAACTTGGCTAAGCTGATTCTAGAATGGCTGACTCAGTCTGTTGCCAGGCCTAATCAGGAAATCTTTCTAGATTGGTAAGACATACCATAGCTTGTGTTCCACTAGCACTTAGCCTGTGAAAACCACAGCGTTTGGCCCCTGTCATGCCATGAAAAGAAAAAATAAGGCTTTTGATTAAGTCCACTAGTAAGCATTGAACACTTTTGTTTTTATTCGATTTCTGTTAAAGCATTTACCAAACCACAGGTGTTTGTACTTAATTTCTTAACAGTCTGTCCCTACAAGTCTCTTTTTCCTTCATTCATTTATTCATTCAAGAAATATTTATTTGAATGTCTATTCCATGCAATGCACTGAGACAGTGTATCGGGCTCTTTTGTAACTTTTTTTTTTTTATAATACTGCCTGTTTAGCAATGAGACCTAGAAGGCTTGCTTCATCTTTAACCATATTCTGCCAGTTCCTATACCAGCTGGCAGGGTGTGTGCCTAAAGGAAGGACACACACCCAAAGATGCTGTATTATGTGTGTATGATCACCAAGGAAACCTAACACTTTGTTCTGTAACATTAGTTGAACTCTTCTCAGTAGTCAATGAGGAGAAACATTAGGCAGCAGAACAGAGGAAAACCATTGTAATTCATGGAAGCAGTAGGGAAGAAAGAACATTGCAACATGTTCAAAGTAACCAGCAGCTAGAAAACTGAACAGTATTGCCTCTGATCATTTTTTCTTTAGGCAGCTAGCTGGTACAAGGGATAGAGTGCCAGGCCAGGAGTCAGGAAGACCTGAGTTCAAATCTAGCCCCAGATACTTAACTAGCTTCTGTAACCCTCGGTAAATCAATCACTTAACCCACTGCCTCAGTTTCCCCAATTGTAAAATGAGAATAATAATAAAACCTATCTTGCAGTGTTGTTGGGAGGATCAAATGAGATAATATTGGTAAAGCCCTTAGCATAGTAGGCGCTTAATAGATGTTTATTCCTTTTCCCCCCTTAAAATGGTTTTATTAATACTTTTTTCCCCTAAAACATTACTGTTATTTCTCACTGTGTCCCTTCCCCCTCCAAGAGATCCCTCCCTTATAACAAATAACAAATAAGTAAAGTCATGGAAAACAAATCAACATATTGGCCATGTCTAAGAACATATGCCCCATTCCACACCCGTAGTCTACCACCCTCTACTCTTACCATCCATCTTATGTAGTCATGACTGGTCACTGCTCCAATCTCTGATAGGATCACAAGGCCATACCTTGTTTTACTTTATTCCTTCATTCATTCAATTGTACTTCCTTCTTCTGGTTTCTTACTGGTTTCTTGCTTAAATGGAGACTGGATTTTTAAATAGTTTAAGGTAAGAAGGAGAATGAATCCAAGAAATGAGAAATCAAGATGAAACACTGTGAAAGAAACATGATGAACATACCCATGAGAAATTAATTTTGTTCATTGCATAAGGCAAATTAGCATAGTGTAGCTGCTGATTACAACCTTTATTTAGCCTCTATGTTTAATGCCCTGAAACAACAATATTCCATATTTGTTGACACCCTATACCAAATTTACTAAATGCTGCCTACTTTCCTATCTTGGACAGTAGTTTCACTTGTCTGATCCCTTTGTTCCACAAACCAAAGAGTCCTACACAAGGTTCACTCTTCTAATCCAAAATAAGTTACAGAGATGTGTAGATATTACTATTATCATCACCAAAATCAATTGCTTATATTTGTTTCTTTCTTTTAACAATCTTGTTTGTTTTTTAATATACTAAAAAGTATATGCATTCCTGATTTCAAGATTTCACTCAGCATACACACTATGTATTATTGTAATATACACTATTGTTATTTTTCTTCATGGTTTATTTTGGATATTTGTCTAAAACAGTCATATCAAACTATCTGTTTGTGATGGCTCAGCTCTTGTAGGTGCTAGATGATAGGGCAGTGCCCTTCTGTTTAGAGTAGCACAAATTTTGACTTCCCATCATGTATTCAATATTGCTGGGGTTGATGAAATGCCGTTCCTTAGAAGGGCCACGCAGAATGTTGAATCAGTGGTACCCTCACACAGCTAACTACATGCTGTGGATTGGCAGGGAAGCTTGCTTAGAGGAGGCTCTAGCTGAGATGGCATCTGTTCTGTTCTCAATTGACGGACATGTGTTGGTTACATGTGCATCAAGAGACCTACTTCAAACGATTAAAATTTTCTAGAGGAGAAACTGGCCTGAAGAAAAAAGAAAACTTCCTATAATTTGACATTCAAATGGACATTTCTCATCTGTGCATTTTTTTTTTTTTTTTAATTTTAATTGTAGCGAAGGGAGCAATCTGACCCCAGCTCATCACTACCCAGACTTCAGATTTAAGACATATGCTCCAATAGCATTTCGGTATTTCAGAGAACTTTTTGGTATCAAGCCTGATGATTACTTGGTAAGAATTTATAATTTTCCTCCCTCCTACTGAAATATGTGATGTAATTATTTTTCTCATTTGTCTCACTGGCAACTTGTGACTATTGTTTTCCAAGACTCAGAGGAAAGTTTCAAGTTCCAAGTTTTATAACAAGTACATATTTGTGCCCTGAGATGAAATGGATTACCTCCAGAAGTAGTGGGCTCCCCCTCTTCAAAAAAAATCATAGATGATTAAATTTCTATAAATTTAGTTCTAGAAAATAGTTTTAAATTCTGTAGCTTTTAACAGATATCCACAAAAATTGCTACGCTAATTGGTATTTAAGTAACTATGGTATTGGTTCCTACTTCAGATAATTATTCTAAGAGATATATTATAATTAGATGTAAATACTGCTGTGAATTTAGCTGATGGAATTCTTTTTGAAAACCTTCTTATCTTAATTGCCTTACTTGTGTGGTTCATCTCAAACTTGCCTTGACCCACAATAATTTTCACCTTGACCTGAAATTTGTATAATGTTTGCTAAAACATTATATTCTTGACTAATTCTGATAATATAGATTCCATGTCACTACAACTCTATTTTATAACTCTGAATGTTGTATTCAGAGAAATGTTTTTTCACATTCCATCCCCATCTCATGTACTTCATGAGTACAGTAAACAAACAAAAAAAAAACAAAACTTGTTGTGGGGCAGCCTTTTTTAGCTTCCAAGTTCATGACATTTAGGCTTCAGAGACCATGAATTTCACTTTATTCATTCAACAAACTTTTTAAGCCACTGTTCTGTGAAGAGCACTGGGTTAAATACTGAGTAAAAGAGACATAAAGTTGACATGAGATATAGTTCTTGTCTTCATAGAGTCTATGATCTACTGGAGGGATTAGATACATATGCAGAAAGCTATAACACGTATTGCTCGCGTACCATATAAGTGTGTGTTGTTATCCTTATTCACTATTTCATGATGAGTACATTAGAGGGTTATAGAACAAAGCATCATGAGTTCAAAGAGGGAAGATCTTGTTGACATGGAGATTAGGGAAGACTTGATTTTTTAAAGGATAATTGGGAATTCTAATCACACAAAATCAAAGAATCTCAGAGTTGGAATGGGACATTTACTCTAAGCTGTATTTGACCATGAATCCCCTCAACCACGTCCTTAATAAGTAGTCATCCAGGTTTTCCTTAAACAAGAGACCATTCTACTTTTGGAGTAACCATTTGGATGTTTTTCTGCGCCTTGAACTGAAATTTGCCTGTCTATAACTTCCATTTATTTTTCCTAGTTTTGTCCTCTGGAGCCAATCTAAACAAATATAATTCCTGTTTCATGGGACAACCCTTTCTATACTTGAACATAACTAGTAGGTGCCCATTAAGACTTCTTTTCTTCAAGCTAAACATTCTAACTTCCTTTAACTCAGTGGTTCTCAAAATATAGTCCAAGGATCCTTGAGGGGGTCCCTAAGACCCTTTCAGGGAGTCTTCAAAGGTAAATCTATTTTCAAAATAATGCTAAAACATTATTTGTTTTTTCAAATACTCTTCTTCTCTCCAACTACATATTTGTGTGAGGCCAAATTTTATTCATATACTTCAACCAAAACAACAAATATATTGCAACAGAATGAATGTAAAAGCAGATATGACACTCCAGCTTTCTTCTGTTCAGCCAGACAGTAAAAATATTTGCAAAATATATGTAAAACATCACTCTTCTAATTAATTTTTTTATTTGGAAAATGTATTTTATTTTTCCCCAAAAAATGCATTCAGTTAACATGTAATAGACTTATTATTTTAAATAAGTTACTAAATAAATATTTTAAAATTTAGCAATTTTAATTTCTAATGTAGCAAATGTCAATAGATATAACCCCCATAAGCAAAAGCTCTTTGGGGTCTTCAGCAATTTTGAAGAGTGTAAAGCATTTTTTGAGAACCAATTGCTTTAAGCTATCTTTATACGACATTACCTTTAGTCCTCTCCCTTCCCTGGCTGTCCACCTTTAAACAGCTTATCAGTGTATTTCCCAAAATATTACCCAGAGCTGAAGTGTTCTGATCGAGAAAAAATATAGTGTTTCTATCTACTCCTTCTTCTGGGTACCATGCTTCTCATAATATAGATAAAGATTATATTCACCTTTCCTTTTCATACTATGGATTTATGTGGGGCTTGCCATCCCCTGAAGTCCTTTTTCACACTATCTGTAGCTCACTATGGCTTCTCCAACTTTTTCTTTTGAAATTGACCCAAGAGGACTTTGTTCCAGTATGTTTGAAAAGGAAGAAAGTTAATCATGGTATCTGATCAACACAACAAACTAAGAACCTAAAAGATGGTTTCGTAAAGACAGACAAATTCTTAACGATCATCTCATTTGGGTTCAGTTTAATAAGACAGAAGTCATTCAAAACAAATCTGTTTTTCAGAGTACTGTGCTATTTGTTAATTTCAAATGAGATGAATATTTGAAATAAATGCCAATACAGTTGGCAGCTAGGTGTCACAGTGGATAGAGTGTTGGACTTGAAGTCAGGAAGACTTGAATTGGAATCCTGTCTCAGATATTTCTAGTTGGGTGACCCCAGGTAAGTCATTCATATTCTCTTAGCCTCAGTTTTCCCATGTGTAAAATGCAACAAGAGCAGCACTGACCTCACAGGGTTGTTTCGAGGATAAAATGAGGTAACGTATGTAAAGGAGATTGTAAGCCTTAAAGGCTATATAAACGCTAGTAATTATTTTTGTTATTTGTTATCATATGAAGAACTGAACTATTTATTACTTCATGAAAGCAGAATTCCACTTTGTATTCACTCACTCAACAAACATTTACCGAGTGCTTAGATTATACTAGGCCCTGGGAATTTAAAAAACTCAGGGATTGGGCCTGTTTATAGTAGGGACTCTTAAGTAAATGGTTTAACTTTTACTTATTTCCCAATATCTATCTGGAATTGGTTGATTAGAGGATATCTTGAATAAGTCTAATTCCTCAATCCTAAAGTAATCCTGCTCAGAACACAGCAGATCCCACATTCATAGAGCCAGAGCTAAAAGGAACCTCAGAGGTTTATCTAGTCCCTCAATCTATAGAAAGAGAAACTGAGGCCCAGGAAGGTTCAATGACTTATCCAATGATACCCAAGGTTACCCTGGATTCAAACCCAGGGACTCTGCCTGTAAGTCTAGCACTCTTTCCACTGTAGACAAAACGTGCTCTGTTTTCTTCATGTACAAGACTAGGTAGCTCTTCAGGAGCAGGGGAGTATCATTCAGTTCAGTTTAACAACCCAATTTGTATAAAATGTCCCATCCATTCGGGATAGAAAGCTACAACCCAGTTTGGGCTTTCAAGGAGATTACAATCTAAATGAGGAGAAAGACATACACAAAGACCTATGATAAAAAGGAGGGCAAGATAAATACAAAGGAGAAGTGCAAAGTGCTATGAGAAAATAAAGAAAGAAGAGTTCATGTTTACATTGGAGCAGGAAATGGTAATATCAGAGAAGGAAGTATGAAGGGCAAAGGAAGGTTCTTAGTTGGGACTAAGGTACAAGACAAGCTCATCCTAGACATGGGGTATGGCATGAAAATTGAGATCGTGAGAGTGAATCTACTCTCCCTCTCTTTGGGAAGAATATGTAGAATGATGGGTAGAGGGCCAAGAACTAAGCCTCAAGATTCATTCACATTTAAAAGGCAGAAGGAAGAAGTGAGAGGAAATGCAGAAGCAGTGTTAATAGGTTCAAGAAGTATGCTGTCATGAAAGGCAAGGGAAAAGAATATTTAAAGAATGAAATAGTCAGAAATGCCCAATGCCAAAAAGGTGTAAGGGGAACAAAGATTGGGGCAGGGGGTTGGGAGGGGAAGGAAGGTCGTTGGATTTGGAGCTTGGTGAAGCTTGAAGATAGCAATGAGGAGAATAGACATTAAAATATAAGTAAGGGGAGTCCAGAGACAATGTCATTCCTAAACTCTTGCCTCTCAGAGAAACAACAATTTCTTATGTGGCGTGGTCTTGGAGTCTAACTTTTTCAGTTGATCAGTCAATAAACATTATTAGGTACCTACTGTGTGCCAGACACTGTGCCAAGTGCTAGAGATACAAAGAAAGGCAAAAGGTAGTCCTTGCTCTCAAGGAGTTCACACTCTAAGGAGATGACCTAGAAACAACTTTGTACAAACAAGTTATATACAGGATAAATTGAAAATAATCAAGAGAGGGAAGGCACTAAAATTAAAGAAGATTAGAAAAGACATAGGCAACACAAGCTTAGGGGTTACCTCGTGAGATATGAATCCCCAGTTCAGAAGTTCATCGACTTGTCTTTGTAGAGAGAGAAGGGGAGTTCTTGAGTAGGATATATTTTGGAGAAAAAATAGAATCACCCATGTGGCCCTCACAATTGGAGGAGGAGGAAGAGAAAGGAGATTATAGTGTTGACTTGCTGAGTGAGAGATCAAGACCTTGCCACATACCTACTATTACTGTGAATTATTCAAAAAGAACAAGTTTGATGGGAAAGAGGGTTCCTACTCAGCCCTAAAGTGCTTGCTTGGATTGGGGAGTCTAAACCACAAAATTTCACTATTAGTCTTAGAAGGAATTGTATCACCATAGAGAAAGCAGTCAGGGGAATAGTTATGAAGAAATAACTGGTTATTTTAAAAAATGGAGGCTGTCAGAATATACAAGGGAGTTTCATGGCAAAATGAAGGGGAGCAGGTAGAATTGAAAGACAGATTTACAGTCAGGGGACCTGGATTAAGGGAAGAACATTTTGTCATCATTTTATTTTTTAAAGAATGGGAAATTTGGGCACTGGGATTGCAGCTATTGTGATTTACATAGCCATACAGAAAATAAATCCCAAGATAGCTATGCGGCTTCTAGAAGTGACATTTTATTTAACCCAACCCCCATCCTCTCTTCATATTCTCCAGTCTACTTCTATTCTCACCAAGGTCTTCACCCTTCCACATGGACCCT